TTGTATCTTGTCTTATGTTTAAGTCTTTGACCATTTCGAGTTTATTTTTGTGTATGGTGTAAGGGAGTTTTGTAGCTTCATTGCTTTACATGCTGTCCAGTTAATTTTACCTGTTTTTTAAATATTTTAAAGTCCCTCTTAATCTCCAGATGTTCCCTTTATCTTTTTTGTTTGTTTGTTTGCTTGTTTATTTTCTTTGCAATGTATTTGTTGAAGAAACTGATTTGTTTGTTTTATAGTGTTTCTCACAGCCTGGATCGTACAAATGGCATCCACATGGTGTAGTCTGGCAGGTTCCTTTTTAAATTGGTAGTTGGATTTAGAGGGTTAATCAAAACAGTTTTACTGGGAATTCTTATCTACTAATTATATCTCATTGTCTGACTATATAACGAAGGATTAGTTTAGCTATAAATTCTGTTTGTAGTCAGGTATTGCCCAAAGTTAAGGATGTTAAACCTCTGGTCTAGACCCCCTTTGGCTCCATAATTTAGAACATATCCAGAAAAATTTTAATGGAATTTAGGCAACAAAAGACACAAACAACAGATTTAGAGTGTATTTGGGTTTGTGGTATCATAGTAAACTATATCGTAGGTAGTCATGAATGAAATCAAAGACTAAACAGATGAAAAATCAGAAGGTGTTAGACTGATAGTATTAATAACATGAAAGGGATTTTTCTTGGAAGAGACGTAACATCTTTTGTGCACGGACATTGGATAATACTCTCCCTTTGTTTGCATGTGGTTGAATAGGAAAGAGAAGAAAGGCATAGGAAATTAACTGAATACTACTCAGGAAAATTACATAAGTAAATATATGTATGTGTAAATTGGAGTAATAATAATAGCTAGCATTTATTGAGGCTTACTTCTGTGTGCCAAGAACTGTTCTTAGCCAGTTTATACTGATACCTCTTTTAAACTTCACACCAGCCCAACAAGATTAGTCCTGTTATTATGTCCATTTTACAAATGATGTAAGTGTAGACATTGCTCCAGCCCACACAGCCAGTAAGTGGTGGAGTTTTTGTGATTTCTCTCTTGCTCTTCTCCTTCATTGTAGAGACCTCATTCATACTAATATAACTAAGCTCAACTTTGATCAACTATTTGAATTCAAAGCTTTAAAAGTTACATATTAAATTTTAAACAAAAATTTTTTTACTAAAAGATTGTTGGGGTCTACCATCTTTCGTTGTAAATATACATGTTTCCAGTGACCCTGTGATTTAATCAGACTTATTCCCATAACTGTAGCATCCAGAAAGCTTTTCCATAACTGAATCTGAGTTCAAAATAACAAACTGAATATAAAACCTTTTGGTACAGATTCTTTGGAAGTTGCATACTTTTTGTATTTTAAAAGATGATTTTTAAACACTGAAAATCTTTAAGCCAATATTTTACAAAAAGTATGTTCTATTGGATAGCAAAACTGCCTCTGGGTTGGAGCAAGAATTCACCCATTTGAATTTGAAAGTATAAGTTTTTAATACAGGATGATTAGTTGTGGGGGAAAAATGAAAATTTATATCTGGGGTTATTAAAGGCCTAAACGTTTGGGAGTTGTTAATCCCATTTGATTAAAGAAATTACCCATCTCTGAATCCAAATCCATCTGTTTAAATTTCTGCTTACATGGCTAAGCTGGGAGAAACAGCCATATTTAAGACAAAGGAATAGACTATGGATTAAGATATTTTTAACATCTTATTAGGAAAAAATAAAAAAAAAAAACACAAGTCTCCTTAAACCAAGTAAAATGGATTCAAATCTGGGATGTTTTATATGTTCTCTAAAGTATGCCCCAATCCCAGTGACGCTAGAGGCAATTGAAAATAAATTCTGATTATTGCTAAATATTATTAAATATGCCAAAGCAACTGGAAAACAAAACCTTTCAGAGTAGTCAAATAATTGCAGCTTCCTAAAATCATCCTTGATCATTCTTATTTGTAGAATGCACACCTCTGACAGGAGGAGGACTGGGATTCACATCTGCCAGTGGGCTGCCAGTCAGCACCTTGAACACTAGCAGATGTTCCTGTTTTTATAGCAAGAAAGACCACATAGATTTTTATTCTCCTGTAAGAGAGCACAGCCAAAACATAATAAATTGGTTATTGGTACCAGAACACACAACATATCTGAAAGTGTTTTAAAACTTGCTTTATTTCAGAAAGCCTCTTAATTTGAAGCTCTTGAAAACCAAAAGATAAACTTTCTTAATTAGAAAGATTCCTCATTACTATAAAACACTGGACTACAGACACAAAATTAAACTTAAAATGCATTGTTTGTGTGAGAGGACTTTTAATGTTTTTACCTGTGGCTTTTAAGAGAAAAGCATTATTTTTATAGGGGAAAAGATAAAACTCCTTTATTCTATAAGATTAAAAAATCTGCCTTGAAGTTATAATTTGTAAAAAACTTTCACTGTCTTTTGAAATAAAACTAGTTATTATTTACAATTACATAAATCTGAGAACATTTTCTAGCATTTCACTTTTAACCTTTAATAGCTCCAAAATACAAAGATACTAATTTTAAAAGCTGATCATTAGTATATAATGTAAAAATCACAACTGAAGAAACCTTGAAGGATTTGAGTGCTAAAATTATTTTTAAACTGAATCTGAGGGAACCCAAGTCTTTTCAATGTCTAGACTGAAAAAATCTCTTTTCCCACTAGTCTCTCAGTCTCATGCTTCTGTATTAACTATTAATTCTTTAGACCTATCATGTCTTTATTATCACATCTCTGCTTCTCTCACTGAACTGTATTTGTGAGTCAGTTTTTTGTACACATTCTGTCATCCTTGAAAGACAAACATCTACAGTCATGGAGAAAAACTGTCACAACTCTGAATTCCTTCCATTTTATGTCAATTTTCACATGTTCATGGGCTTCCCTTCCTCTATTTGATTTTGAATTTTTTTCTTTATGCTTTATTACAGAATAATTTATCTAACCCCACAACCTCAGTCATCACTCATTTAGCTGAATCCCAAATGCCTGTCTCCAGGCCTGACTTTGAAATGCTGGCGTCTTCATGGTTTTGGTGATATTTCTTACTTTCTGCACATTGACTTCCCTGCTCACTGCTCAGATGTCATTTATATGGTTTCCTCCAAAGTCTGTACCTTCCCTTCTGTCTCTGTTCCTCTGAGCTGCTTCATGTGGCTTTTGGGCATGTTCAAAAATTTTGAAATGCTAAAGTATATTTTCTGATTTACCTAAAAATTAATTTTCTTTTTAAAAGATATGTTATATTCTTAACATTATTTTGATGTTTGCCAACAATAATGTTTATTTTTATACTTTACATGTAATAAAAGGGGATGTTAGGAAGTGGTTAAAGAGGCTTTCTCTTTATAGGTATAAGGAGGAAGCCAAATTAATATTGTAATGTTTTAATAAAACTTCATAGCCACTTTGAGCTATAGTATTCATTAACTAAATTTGGAGCGATGAAAGAGGAGAAGAAAGGAGGCTCATAGACATATGCCTAGTCTCTTAAGGGGTGGAGATTATAGAAATGATGAAACTTGAGGGCAAATGCTAATGGTATGTATACAACACCTCATACCTGTAAGTTTGGTGTGTGATTAACTCTAATTTTGACATACCAAAGAGTTAAAAATATTCTATTCTCTTTTAGTATCCCAGTTCTGTTCCCAGTTCTATATTGGCTTAATCTTACCTCAGATACCAATTTTTTGAGCCTCCATCATTACAAGTGAACTCTGCGCCTCTTGTATGGCAAACTTTGTGCTGAATACTGGAGAGTGTCTGTTCTCAAGAAGCTTCCATTTTTTCCTTGGAGGTGGGTGGTGAGGGGACATTAAAATATGAATGCTTCCAATGCCAAGAACTAGGACCTCTGATAAGGAATGATGTTTAAAATCTATAACAAGTGGCTTACATGGCACCAAGCAATCAAGAATGTCCCCCACCATAGAGCCTGATTTGTGTGTCCAGAGATGTACAGGCTGAAAATCCTGTCTGGGTTGGAGCTGGCAGGTAGGATGCTGAGGAGCACATGATGGGGCCTCCAGCCAGGACAGGGGAAGGAAGGCCTCTGGGAAATCTTCCCAATGGGTGGGACACTCCAACTGAGTCTTTTGAAGGATGAGTAGGGTCTGGCAAAGACTTTGTTGGGAAAAGGATACATGAACATACAGGGGGTTGGAATTATGTGGAGAAAAGAGAGAACTTAAGTGTTTGCATTAGTCTGTTGTTTGTTCTCACAGGACATACCTCTGTCATTGACCCAAAATATTTTTTTCCCTTCACATGCACCCCCCTACTTCCATGTCCCTATGCCAGCTTTCTGTACTGTGCCCAGAGGGGCATTTGTCACTTCCAAGCTTCACTTACTAATTTTCCGATAGACCTTGTTCTTCCTGCCCCACCTTTAACCACAGAGAATGGTCAGAAGTGATTTTGAAAGAGATAAACCTTACCTTGCCAGTATATAATAGGCATAGATTTTGTGGTTAGGAAAGCTGGTTTTACTGGCCACTCTCTAACTTCATTTTAAATGGAAACAGTTCAAATCAAGTTGTTGCATCACATGAAAAAAAAATTAAGTTATCCATATTAAAAGAGGAAAATAGGACAAAAAATTAAGATAAAAACCAAGGCTAGAAATTAGTAAAATGTATAATAATGGCAAAAATTTTCCAGACTAAATTGCATATAATAAAAAATTTGAAGGAAATATATAATCACTGAAATGAGTTTGTATTATAATTTTCCTTTTTACACACCTGCGTAGATTCTCTGGCTTATTAGGGTGACTCTGTCTGGTGGTCTTGGTTGCTAAAAACCTGAATTTAGTTGGCTGTTGTTGAGTGAGCAACTTAGGTTGTTGGCCTCTCAGCTGACCTTGGCTGTCTTTTTTTTTTTTTTTTGTAGGAAATGTGGAATCCTAGCTTTCATTATATTCTTTTCTGATGACATTTTTCTTGTCTTTTTCTTTCAGGCATTCAGAGAAGAAATTGCACCAATCAACCTAAAAGTTAAAACAGTGAATGATTTATCCAGTCAGCTGTCTCCACTTGACCTGCACCCATCTCTAAAGATGTCTCGCCAGCTAGATGACCTTAATATGCGATGGAAACTTTTGCAGGTGTCTGTTTATTCCTCTTCGTAATGCAGGCTTACACTTGGTCTTTAAGCCCTACCTCACTGTTCTACCACCTGCCATCATTTTTCCTTCTTCATTGGTTGTATTTGGTAATGGATTTCTAGCCTGTGACGACATAAGTTATTTATCTTTCCTTATCTTGAACCCAAAGACTTCATTTATTTATGAATATAGATTTTAATGTAATTTTATGATGCACTCTTCATACGATATTTCTAGAAAATTGCAAAAGGTCAAATAAATCACAGTAATTGAAACCTATGGTAGGGAGTCAGCTTTCTTTAATTATGCATTTTTTTTCTTTTGAAAAGTTAGGAAAGTCCCTGTCTTTCTTCTTCCACTACTTGCTATTTAGATATCTTGCTCATTTTTTTCCAACTAGTACCCTGGTGGTGTTTACCTTTGACTTTTATGTCCTAGCTGCTCTAATGCAGTTGTTTTAGTGACTAGATCTAACTTACTCATCCCAAAGCCAAACCAAGAAGAATCCTCTTGAGTATTACTAAGTATCAGCATTTGCAAGTCACCATATGTTCCAGTCAGTAGTTTTTGGCTCCGTGGAACTTTGTCACATTCAGTGGCCAGTTTCTGGGAGTCATAATAATCATTTTTCTCCCTGAAAACCAGCGGGCTAATTTAAGTGGAAGTTGAAAAAATAACTCTTTCTGATCTTTCTCTATATTTTGTACCTAAAATGATGTGATATTTAATAAGATAAATATGCAATTTCAAGGTAGCACATAAAAGCATTTATTTTAATGGTATAATATTTATAAAATATTATAGTGTTAATAGGTCTCTTGAATTAATTCAGATGTTGGAACACCCAATGATTTACATTTTCCTCATGGAATTGAAACGATCATAAATGATTATGTAGTATTAGTCTTTTCTGCCTTTGAAGAGAATATTAATAATATGGGATTCATAAAGCAGGATCTGTTAGACTCACTTTTTGAGTGAGTAGAACACAGAAGCATTTGACTTTTGCTCTCTATTTCTTCTACTCTGTTTTACTAACTCATTATCTTCATATAGGTATTCCTCTGGTCCCTCTTGATTTCCTTCCTACTCCGCTTCGCCTACAAAGATGAGAAGTCAGGGAGTACGTTATGCATGAAAGAGGATGTGTATCCTGTCATGCTGATCTCTGAGCCCGGGAACCACTAGAGCTCAGATGTTAGTTGCTGGTTGAATAAGAGGAGCACAATTTATGCTGGCAGACAGCACTGTTAAATTTCAGGAGTAGCATCTTCTTTTCTCCTCCTGAATGTGAAAGTGTGGCATTTGAATGCTTTTTGACCTAAATGAACAAAGTACCTGCTAATGCAATTTAAATAGCTACCCAGGAGAAACTGAAGCTGCCCAGTGAGCCAGAGACACATGCTCCATTTAAAAGCAGTTGAAAATAAGATCGGCAATCTAAGCAGAACGCCTGAGCAGTGCTACCAGACGGAGACCAGGAAAAGGAATTGAAAATGTCAGTGAGCTCTGTGCTGTTGTCACTGATTTGCAATTAGTTTCTCAGGGCACCAACTTTTTAAATTTTCAAAGGGTAGAGAGCTACGACTGTGTGTAAACAAATATATAGATTATATTTTTCAGTTGGTATCTACTTTAATACTCCCAAGTCAAGGTGATGGACACAAACTTGGAGGAAGATAAGACATTCCATAGTCATGTTTCTTTTCACCTTCCATCCATATCTATCTATCCAATACTATCTGTCATCTGTTTCTTTGTATCTATCTATCTATCTATCATCATCATCATCATCTATCTACTTATCTGTTTTTTTCCCCTTGAAATGTATTAGAGTTCTTTTTCAATTGTTACCTGTAGCACTTTTTACAACCTTCCCTACAAAAGAGAGATGAGTAGGCACTGAACTCATGGGCACATCTTGACTTTAGATGCTTTAGAGTGTTACTGCTTTTGAGTAAAGTGCAGAGTAACAGTCAAGGCATATATTCTGGCATCAGACAGGCTGGGCATGAATACTAGCGCTACACATACTAATTTTATGTCCTTAGGCACCCCTTTGTGTCTTAATATTTTCATCTGTAATACAATGATAATAGTAAGGAATATGTACCCAATGCAGTTATTGTGAGGGCTGAAAGAGTTAATTCATATAAATTGCTTAGAAGAGTACCTGGTACCATTTACTATTACTGGATACCGGGAGTCTATTTTCATACCGACACTTTATTTCCAGATACAGAAAAGGAGTCTGTACCAGCAATCATACCTGGGCAGTAGCATCATTTATTGTAATACTTAAATCAAGGATATTATTAAGGTTATTGTTTTGAAATCAAATGATTTCTTGTGTGTGTATGTGCAGGTTTCTGTGGACGATCGCCTTAAACAGCTTCAGGAAGCCCATAGAGATTTTGGACCATCCTCTCAGCATTTTCTCTCCAGTAAGTACTGACAAACTTGACTGATCTCATTAATTGAATGAATCAGCATATTTCTTCACTCTCACTCAAGAAACTATATTTTTTGCTAAAAATGTATTTACTTTTTTAGATAAATATTATAAAAGATGATATTAATATTAATGACAATATTGTTGGTTATTATTTCTAATAATCCATTTAATAACCTAATAATATTGTTTCTAATAATGAAAAAAGTCTTTAAAGTGAAGCAAAAATGAAATCATCTTTAGCTATGTTTTTTCACTGGACCATATGTTATAGTAACTAATATAGTAACATCATTGCTATGCCATATGCAGAGATTATGAAGTTTTTCACAATAAAGAAATCATTTTTATATTTTAAGATTTTTAAATTAATTTTTCTTCTTAAAAAGTATATATTAGTTTAAAATGCATCTGGAGTCTTAAAAGTAAAAAAAAAAAATCACTTCACACATCTTTGAGAAGATTTTGGTTTATTAGGCTCTCTGCAATCATACTGAGATTTTCTTCTGGTTAAACACTGCACATTCAGCCAAACCACATATGCAGATTTTTATGTAATGGTCTCCAACTGAAATTTTTCATTTTATGGACTGTTCATGAGATCTTAAGTAAATTGAGCTCCTACTTTATTATTCACTGCTAAGGAAACTAAATAATGTAGGATTCAGAGTCACCCAGATTGAGATTAAAATATTAATTTTACCTTTTACCAGGCCTGTGAATCCTTGAAAGTTAATTTTTTATTTTAAAATTACTAGAAGAATACTTTTTTCCTCTGATTGCCTTGAGATTTAAATAAGAAAACGTATCAAGTTACACAAAGCGTGTAGCACAGTTCTTGGCACAAGTGCTTTCACTAAATGTTAATTCCTTTCCTTTTCTCTGGCACACAAATGTAAGCAAGCACTTTGTGTAATTTAATTCAATTTAAATGAAGTTTAAAATGTAATGCAAAGCTTATTTTCCCAATTATGGTACCTTCTTTGCATCTGTAGCCATAGAGAAAACTGAAGTAATCATATTGTGTCTTCTAGCCAAATTGATTACATTTATATTTTCTCTTGATCTTTGTCATGATTGATAATCTGCTTTACCTTAATTCACAATTTTGAGAATCCTAATCAATCATTTCCTGACCTTCCAGTCCTACACCTGTAGTGTTCAAGCTCTCTCTAGTGCTCTCTCTCTCTCTCTCACTTTCTCTTTCTCTCTCTTTCTCTCTCTCTCTCTCCTCTCCAGCCTCCCCACCACCTCCCACCACACCTGTTTCACACACCTGAGCTCTTAGGTAGCCTATCTTTGACTGATGTGTAGTCCTTCCTGGATATACTGTCTACCTGGGTCCCAGAATGCGTTGCTTAAGTCTGGATACCATCAATGTTGATAAAGTAAATAGGTTTGCAGTAGACTCATTAGGTATAAATTACTCCAGATTGCTTACATTTTTTAATTATATTAATGTTAGGATCTAATTAAAGAGGAATTTAACAAATAATTGAGCTTCTATTTATAATTCTAGGAATTATTTATCTGTTAGTATTGATGAAACCAAACACTTTCACGTAGCAGCCATCCTTTCGTAATAAAAACCAAACTCTGGCTCTTTAGGAAATGAAACATAAAAACTGTGAAGCTCAAACACATTGCCTTTCATGGTCTAGCACTGACAGTCCAAGGTCAAAGTTATTCAAATCAAAACAATTATTACAATGAATGGCAAAGTGTAAACAAAATCCTAATTAATAAATTTAGTAATTGTTATCCATTGCTGCTTGGAATCTTTGGCTTTATTATATTTCTTGGACTTTAGCCATGGTTATAAAAGGAGCCTGTTCAATTAGGCGCAAAGTAAAAACTGACCTCTTAGCCTGGTGCCAACATTGCAATGAGGTTGGCTCTAATGAGAAATTTAATATATGTAGCTCCGCATTTTCATCCCTTTGTTGATACTTTCATGCACATGGTTGGAAAAGGGAGTGCTCACACTTTGTAGAGAGAGGAAGAATTGTTGAATAGAAACATTGCTGAGCTAGTGGTCAGAAATCCTGAAATCACTTCTGGGCTCAGCCATTTCCTGTGCAAGTTATTTCACCTCTGGATATTTAGTCCCTCGTTGTTGGCTTCCTTATCAATACATATATTTGAAAATGATTTGCAAAGTTTGGAATGCTAACTAACAATAAGGTAGTATGACATCATATTCAGGAATAAAACATTAGTGACAACTGGTTATATGAGACTCTGGTGATACTTGCAAAGTTTTATTTAAATTTGCTTGTTTTTTAGTTCATTTAGCAAAATTGTTTAATAGTTCTAGTTGCACGTGTGCACTCTTCTTAAATAAGTCTTGAAATAATTGGTTTAAGATAGGGAGATATATTTTTATAAATAAGGAGTAAATTGAATTGTAAAAATTAAGTACTTCAGTAAAACAAAACATAAAATCTCTATCCTACCGATGTCTAGTGTAAAAATAGGGATTTTTTTTTCCTGTGTATTTCAGATGAAAATAAGTATTTGAAATTCTTCTGTCTAGATAATTGCCTTGGTTCTTTACAACCCTTTGTATGTTTATTTTAATTTTCCTTTTTTAAAATTCATATAATTGAGTTTGTTTAAATGCTGTCCGTCCTAAATAGTTATTCTTGTGTGTATGATCCTAAATAAGGACTGTTATTAGTGGTCTGGAAAATTCGTTGTTGAGAAATCTAGTTTACAGTCTGGATATACCAGGTAAAATTAATTTTGCCTTTAGCTGAATCAAAAAATATATACAGAGTATAATTTCCTGGTAATAAGTTTTAAACTGTGCTTGTTATAAATAATCAAACTTGATTTTTTTAAATATTTGTATCAACAGATTCAACTAGTTAGAGTCCGTATTAGAAAGTGAGACTGCAGTGTTTCTCTTCTCACTTCAAATGCATCTTTAAAGCCACTCTTTGGCCTAACAGATTTCATGATTCTAGGAACTCAGCAGTTCTCACTGAATTTGCGATAAAGTGTGTTCAGTTGTTTTGCATTAAGGTATAAGGCTTTTGGGTTAGCAGTGTTTCCAATAACCTCCCTGTTTCCTCAGCTTCAGTCCAGCTGCCGTGGCAAAGATCCATTTCACATAATAAAGTGCCCTATTACATCAAGTAAGTTGATTTTAATTCTCTTTTATGATACCAAGAAAATAAAATTATGTTGATAACTTAAGAGGCTTTTCCCATGTAACTAAAATATGGATTTCAGTTCTGTTATATGAAGGAAATTATATGTCTATAAATTTATGTAGCTATAAAATATATATTTAATATTTGAAAGAAATTAGTTTAAAAATCAGAATGATATTTATAATTTGTTACATTAGGCTATACATCTATTTGGCTAGTTTTTTAAAGCAGACATTAAAATATTGGAGGAAAAGGACATTTCCAAATATTCTTGACATAATGGTGTATCTCAAACTGTACTGATTCTAAAACATTTTTATAGCTTCCAGAAACTCCATTTTTTAAATGCTTACACTCTTCTCATTTTAATCCACCAAAAAGAAATAGTATTTTGTCATTAACAATTTCAATATTTTCAAGTTTTTCTTTGACTTACAGAAATTATGTACAATATTAGTTTAGGCTTACCATCTTTCATTTTTGTTGTCAACTTGACAGCTTCTCCTTTTTTACACACTAAGTTTTCCTTATTATGTAATATTTTATAAATTTTGTCTGATTTACACAAGATCTGCCTAGGATTTGATCTTTGACTTAGTCTGTATGTTGTCACTGGACAGAATGATAAAATTCATCTTCTGGAATCCCTTGAGGTGTAAAATACTGATGTACAGTGTGATAAAGCGATAAAGAGTCGTAGTTGACACTGTTTGTAAGGTGAACGGTGTCCAAGTTGTGAGAAAAACGTTCGCTATTATCAGGAGTTAGCTCTGTCTCAGATTAGTCCTGTGACCTCAGGCAAGTCTGGGGGAGCTCTGGGCCACCTTCTCTTTATAGCCTTCCTAAAACAGCATGTGGTGTCTCCAAAATCCATGCCAACATTAAAACCTACTCTTCCAGTATCCCTCTTTCTGAAAATTTTGTGTGTGAAGTCAAAATGTTTATGAAATGGTATTTTCTCATGAAGGTTTTATTGTGGTCTGAGAGGTATACTCAGAGTAAAACAAAATACATAATTTTGTCATAAGGCATCATGAAGATAATGAGCAATATGTTACATTGTCTTAAGGGAATTTAACACTTTTGTCAGTGTATAATCTACCATGTATTAAGTTGTGATAAATTTCAGTATTAGGTAGTAAAGCAGTGGATTGGTGTCAAATTTGTGCAAGCGTGAATTAAAGAAGTCAGAGGCTCGGCTAATTGACTTGTCTTTATTGAGAGAAGGTGTGATCTTCTGATCCGAACTTAAAACACATAATAATTCCACATAATAATAATAATGGTTATAGTGTTAGAGAATTTTAATTTGCTGGGTGAATATTGACTTGAATTGAATATTCCAGGTTTAGGTATAAATCTGATGTACTAAGGAATCATGGCCAAAGTTACACATCCTGACCCCTGGATGTGAATATGTTAGGTTATTTGAAGGTGGGGAAGGAGCATGAGCCAGGAAATGCAGGCAGCCTCTCAAAGCTGGAAAAGGCAAGGAAACAGGATTCGCTCTTAGAACCTCCAGAGAGGAGCACAGCCCTGCAAACCTTGACTTTAGCCCAGGGAGACATTTATTTTGTGGTAATTTGTTATAGCAGCAATAGGAAACTAATACGCATACTACACAAAATCTAGAAGTCCATGAAATTAATTGAAGTTAATTCATTTACTGAATTGACCTAGATTCCTGTATCATCTGACTTTTTATAAATGTAAATTGGATCTAGTAAGGCAGATTTTTGTTTTTTCTGAGATAAAGAAAATATTAAATCTGTTGCTTGATTTTGTGTATGCAATGGTTATCTATTTGATTTGGCACTTTAAAAATCCATCCTATTTTCAGCACTACTATTAAAAAGAACTTCTGTATTTTCAGGTATGTTATATGTGACTGAGAATTATGTTACCTAAGTCAGAATATCACTAATTTAGTATTATTATAATTTTGGGAGGATTTAGCAAAATTGTGTACTTGCTGAGTCTGCAAGTTCTTATTGGGCAGACCAGGAGAGTAAAAACTAGTTTATCTGGCATCTTATTGACTAGAGTACTATAACCAACATTTCAAAATATATACAATACAGTGATGACCAGAATTTTTAATGTGACCCACAGGATTGTAGCATCCTAAAATATCTTCACCATTGTTAGTGAAAGACTGTATTTTCTTAAATGTGTATAATTTTAATGTTAAATGTCTTCAGATTTTCAATTTAGAAATCTGCTCTTGTATATAGAATGAATTCTCTTATTTTTAGAAAACTTGTTTAACCAGATTCTTTCATTACTTGCTCTGTTGTGTAACCTAACAATTTATTTCCTCATAAGTAAGGAACATCAATCACTAGAGATAGCATTATACAAGCCAATATTTCCAGATGAAAAATCATTATGAAAACAAAATGTAACTTCCAAATAAATTAATAAACAAGTAAATGATGAATTAAAAGGCTTTTAATATATACTTCCCTTTGCATGGCTGCACAAATAAGTAGAAGAAAAATGTTAGAAACAAAGTTAGCATGATTGTCATGTAACCAGAGTTTCCTGGAGCATATTAAGATGTATTAATTTGACCAACAAGAGAATAAAATTCAGGTAGAAATATCAGATATGTTCAGTATTTAAGTGTACAGTTTTATACATTCTAATGCCAGAATACAGCAAGAAGGTTGGGAGATAATGGGAAGAAAAAATTAATTTATTTCATATTCTAATTTTATAGATTAGTTAAAACATACTTTGATGGCTCCCCAATGCATTTATGTCTCTCTAGGTAATTTGTTATTAATATTTTGAAGTATACTGAAGTGGTTCCATGACTCATTTGCTTCGAGAAAATGAGAGAATAAAGATCTGAACCTTAAGAGTCTATGTAGTGTAAATCTTTCTACATTAATGTCTTCAGTTGAAACTCGTATCTTTAAATTATATTTGCTGCTTCTAAGGTAGACTTTCCAAAATTGATCTAATTATCTTTCTTTTCTGGTATAGTCCACTGACAACTTGTCCCATCAATTGAAGAAAAGTTGAAATGGCTCTTGTTGCCTTCACAATGTACAAAAATCTATCATAAAAGCAGGAACTGTTTCCCTGTGGATTTTTGGTCATGTGCTGTGCTTTGTACATGTTGTTCATTTTCTCAACTAAAAGTTAACATCCAGGGAGTTTCAGGTGCAAAGGGAATGATGACTAAAAAATTCGGGTTGAGTTTTCTTAATACATCACATTCATCATCTAAAACTCACTGCTTCTCTTTTTGATCCAGAAATAACAATCACAATAATAAATAGTCATAGTGGGTGATAATAATGATCATTGAAATAAGTTATATGTTTTGAATGTTTATTTGCCAGCCACTGTGCTAATCCCGTGCTTGGGTTCTCTCTTTTAATTCTCACAGTTGCCCATTTAAGTAAGGTACTGTCATTACCCCCTTTCTCAGGCAAAGCTTAAGTAATAAGTACACACATATCTTGCTTGGGTTCACACAGCCAGTAAGTGCAAGAGCTAGCATTCACATCCCCAGGCACAGACTCCAGCTCCTGGACACTTGATCACAATGCACTTACTGCCTCCTATTCTCTGTGCTAGTGGAAGTAGAGGACAGAAGACTTTAGTCACATGGCAAATTTAGGTAGGATGAAGGATTATATTTAGAACAGTGCTGTCAGGTAGAGAAAATATGAGTAAACATCCTTTCTTTTGAACTATAGATGAGTTACCATTGTATACCCACTAAGTGCCAACAGTTGAGTGCAAAGCTGTCAAGAGCAAGACCCAGCACCTTCCCCAGCACTCCACACTGCCTTTTCTGTAGGATTCTCTTTCAGCTAATTTCTGCAGGCTTAATATATGATTAAGGAAAGCTCACATTGTGGTCTGATAACGGACAAAGGTGCTTTTCTATGGATAGCAAATGTCATTCTCTGCTGTCCTGCCAGCAGCTCGTGGCAGGAGTTCTGAGGTGGGGGACAGCTGTCTGCCCCTCCACCACTTCTGCTCATCCACAGGGCTAGAAGCTTTCCATCTGTTGAGTAGCTTGGCCAACTAAGCTGGCTCATGTGTCCCCTGGGGCAAAATTAGCATAGGTGGTTCTCTACCTGTCCAGCCTATTGGTGAGCCATCCTGTTTCATAGGCTGTAGTAAGAGATAGTTAGGAAATACCGTTTTCCTTTCTCCCTCTGCAGTGTCTTCTCTAAACCCCAAGTCCGTGACTTTTCAATAAGCCTTAGTCTTGGTACAAATGATTATTCTGCTCTTGTGACAGCTTCACGTTCACGTCTCTACAGTTCTGTAGCTTTGTTTTCCCCACTGGAATCCAAAGGGCAAACCTTAATTCTTCAGTTCCATCACACACACCCAGCTTTAACATGAACATTCCAGTCATCTCTGATTATACAGATAATCCATATCACAGTCTCTCCAGCTGACACTCCTCAATACGACAGTGTATTAACCAGAATAAACTAATCTGCATCTCTAAATACCACTGCCATGCAGTCCCCGCCTTGTTCCAACTCCCCCTTATGAATAGGTCTAAATCAAAATTTTCCTCAATTTATTACTCTCTTTTATATTTTCCTTTTCTGTCCTTGTGTTCATTATGGATAATCCTGCAATACTGGTTTCGACCCCTTTCTCACCTCCCAAGGGCACCCTCTACTGCCCTAATCCATCAATTGCTAGAAAAAAAAATTTGTCATTGTAAATGAAATCTCGGAGAGCAAATAGTTGTTCTTTATGGCAGTCATGCAATTTATTTGCATAAACTGTATCTACTTGTCTCATTATATATGTACAGTACTTATTTCTTTAGAGGAATTGCGAAGTCTGCTTAGATGATGTAGGTGAAATATTTCTTTCCTAAATAAGAGCAGAGAGGAGTGGCAGCAAAAGAAAATTCAAATATCCAGCCTCACTGGAAAATCAAAGCTAACAAAGGTATGGGTATAACACCACCAAAAAGGGAAATTAACATAAAG